AGCCCTTATCATGTTAGTTATTTGGCAAGGACCTCCAGTTGTCTCTATGCTCCTAAGGGCAGGAGGTCTGTTGTCTCTGGCCCTGACATAAGTGTCTAGACATACTAGGTGCTCATTAAATGAATGAGATATTCTCAATTTGAGTTTATTTGATCCAATAATATTATAAGTTATAGTTCGTTAATTTTTAAAATTAGAAATAATTTTTAATCAGTTGGGGAATATACAGTTAACAATATAAGAAAACAACTAGCTTAATTGTTTTTCCTAGCTTAAAATTGATTATTAAGGATAATAGGAAAAATCCGATGCTACTTAAGTAATTTATGTCCCAGAATAAGATTTCCATGGAGGGTTAGAAGTGCGGTATTGTGGTTAGAGATAACAGCTCTCCTATAAAATGAGGTGAGGGAGTGAGGGGGGCATAGGATAGGTTGAGATGAATGACTGTCTGGGCAATGGTGTTCTAATCGCAAAACCTTTTTGCAACCCATCTTATGGATCCTAGAACTTATAAAACACTAATGTATCTTCAGAGATTCTGATTCATTAGAAGTGAATAGGGGACCAGGAATCTGTGTTCTACAAGCTGCCAGGTGATTTAAATCCACATAGTCTACCAGCCAAACGTTGAGCAAACGGTTTTAGAAGATCCTCTAAATGTACTGTAATCTGCCTTTTAAAGATGTTCCTTTGGAATCATCATTTTCTTTTGCTTATTGTTTCCTTACTCAATTTTTATCTTCAGCAGCATCTGGGCACCCAGCATGTTTTGGATAAATGCATGAGTGAATGAATGAATGACTCACGTCTCTGTATTTCTTTAACAGCCAATTACAGTTTTTAGTCAGGAAGCATGAGATTGCAAGTCAGAGTATGCACTTTTTCTCACATTCATTTTTCCCCAAGTAATGTTGAGTTTTTTCTTCACCAAACTATGGAACATGTTTTATTGGGGAGGTCCCATGCTGGGTGTGTGGGACACTGAGGGCACTCCTTCCTCACAATGAGCTCCCAGTCCATTGGTGGAGGCTAACATGCCCAATAGCAATTCCAGTACAATATCTTTGGTACATTAATAAAGGATGTTCAAAATGCTATGGGCACCTGGAGAAAGGGATGAAGAGCTCCTCCTCCTGCAGAATGAACTGAGAATTCTATTTAGCTCTTAGTGTAAGAAAGGCTAAATTGAATAGGATTATAGTATAATTCTGCAGATGACTTGCAATTGATTAAAAAAAAAGCCGTGATTTTTTTTTAATAAGGGCTATGGTTTGTTGAGTAACTAGTGTGTGTCCAATACTTAACATATATTATTTCAATTAATCTGTATAGAAACCCTTTGAAGTGGATGTTATTAACCCCATGTATAATAGGATTATAGATGGGGAAGCAGGGTTAGCTAGGAAAGCAAAGCAAACAGTTCAGGAACCCAACAGGCACTAAATGAAAATACAGGAACTTAACCTGGATTTGTCTGACTCCAGAGCCTTAGCCTTTTCCACTGTGCCATGTATCTTCCCTAACACTGTCATTAATTGTTATAATAAATAATGCAAGTTTGTTTAATGTTTTAAAGGGCAGATCTATTTGATCTATGAAAAACCTGTCGATTTTTCATGATTTTTAGCAATGCAGGTCAATTATTCTGCTATTAAGGTGATGGTTGGTATCTTTATTTATCATTTAAAATCCCTTAACTTTGGATTTCTAGTAAGTCCAGTTCCATTGAGAGTTGGTGACAAAAGAAGAGAAAGTGAAAGGATGGATTAAAATGAGATTTGCAGTATTATTTAAAAGTACAGCAGTGTGTTTTAGGCTATCACTATTACTTGAAAGTACACTGATGCATTTACGCTTAAACAAGTTTTTTAAATGAGTCCACACACTTAAATAGAGTTTATGGTATCTTGGAATAATTGGAGCAACTGCCAGACTCCTTGTCTATATCAAGAATTTCTGTCCTAGAAGACACTTTTTCTGTACAGGAATTACAGTTACTTCCATCTGGTGCTAGACATATTTTTTAGCATTAAACTAGAGGATCATTTCGAGGAGCGATGTTTTATTCAATTAAGCCTAGGAAACCCACTAAAAGGTACATTCTCCATTACTTCCTGGAGGCTAATTAGGATGTAAGTCTGAGATCTGAACACTACTTGTAGCTTCTGCTTAGATGTCTGCTTCAAGCCTTACCTAATTTTTCCGTAGGAACCTGGGGTTTTTAACTATAAGCATATCAAAGTGGTTGACATGGAGAGGTATTTAGATTTCTTCCCATTAAGATGAAAAATGCAGATAGAAGCTGACTGACAGTACAGAGGCCATTTTGGTTAGGAGCCCTCTACAGTCTTTATCTTGTTACCCTTCTGGGATGCTGTGGAGGTTAAGGTCTCCAGCCTTTGTGAAAAGGGCTCTTTGGAATTGTAAATATGATCTCAAACAGGAGAGAGGTATGAAAGCAAATTAACTGTAGGCGTTTTTTCCTGAATTGGCCGTCTAGTTGCCAAATAATCTGAAATCAGAGCCCAGATCAGGAACTGCAGCTTCTAATAAGTTACTCTATGACAGCTTATACTGTTTTTCCTTTTTTGTGTGTGTATGTTTGTTTTGTTTTAAATGTATAGGAAGCTAGGTGAAATTACTTACTATAATCAACAAGTTCTTATGGTATAGGCTAAAGATTAAAAATCAGAGGGGATAGCTAGATTAATCATTGGAATCTACAGGCAATCCAAAAATCCTCAATTCAGGTGATCACTGTAGCCATTTTGCTCCCAATAAGTTTTTCTCAAAAATGTTAGTCAGAAAAGCAGAGATGACTGAGATGAATGCTGCTGGATCTCTCTATTACCAGTACGTCAAGAATTGGAAGACAACATGGATCTGAGTAAATAGCCCAACATAGATTGGCTGGCAGGGATTAATGAGGGAGACATTCCAGAAAAGGAGATGGAAAAGAACAGACTCAGAGAAAGAAAAAACATGAAAACGACTTAGTCACAATAGAATGGTTGTGCTGGTTTGTGACTGCAGGGAAGATTAAAATGGTAGGCCTTCTTAAGAAGGTGCATGTATTCTAGTTTTCTTATGTTTTGTTTATTTTTAAACGAATTTTAACCTTTTAATTTCTTGTTCCTTGCCTTTTTTGGAAAAGCATTATAGGAAATGTTTTAGGGGTAAGGAGGCATAATTTAAGAAGCATAATTGAGACAGGCAATAAAAATTGTTTTATACTTTGTTTTGCCTGGACTCCTGGGAGACCAATATTAATATCTTGCTAGTTTCCAAGAAACAAACAGGAGAATGAAAGGGCCAGAATTCTATCTTTGAAAGTATGGAGAATGAGGATGGATATGATTGAAGCAAACAAACTATGAAGGATGTGAATAGAGCGTCCGTTACATCTCAGAGTGCCTGAACTGGTGAGCCCCAGGGTATGGTGAGTTGGGAGTTGTGCTAAATACGCAAACTCCGTAGATTGATAAATAGTCTTTGACCTCACAGGGTGAGTAACTGTGAGAAGTACTAGGACATATAACTTTATAGTCTGGATATTAGATTTTTGGGAACCTCTTACTCCATGAGATTATACAGGTAAAAATATGGATTATTTCAGGAAATATTTAGATAAATTCATGAAAGATGGTTTTGTAAGAAAATAAGAGGGGGGTAGAGATCTTTGGTTATTGACAACAAATCTAATAACGGTAGCTATTATTTGTTATCAGGCACTATGCTAAATAGGCACTTTTTTATATTATTTAATGTCATGCTTTAATACCATGAGATATTTGTTGGCCACATTTTACAAATGAGGGAACTGAAGCTTAGAGAAGTGAAGTAACTTGTCTGAGTTTACACAGCCAGTAAGTGTAAATGGCATTAGGCCAAGGCATTCTGAGCCTATGTCCTTAACTCTTTAATGTGTATCACTTTTCTAAGTATGGAGAGATATATACTTTTCTTCTATAGACTATATCTTAGAACTCTAAAATCAATAAGAAAAAGACGGCTAATAGAAAAATGGACAGAATAGAAAAATCCTGATAGTTAAGTAAGATGTGAAAAGATGCCCAATCTCACTAGTAAATAATGAAATAACATTAAAACCATAGTGAAGACCATTTCATATCCACCAAAATGGTAAAAATTAGAAGCCTGACAGTTCTGATTGCTGGTGAGAATATGAAGTAACCAGAACTCTTGTTTACTGCTTGTGAGATGTAAACTGGCACATCTACTTCCGCTAATGGTTGGGCATTGCACTGCTGAATTCTTTTCCAAGTTAGGGCCCATCAACAAATCAATATTTTAATCACATTTAGATAACGTAATTGGTGATGGAGTAGAAGGGGAAGCATCTGATTAAAATAATTCTGAGTAAAAAAATGGAAAAGATAATACATATTTAAAGGCCTTGGACTTGAACAATGTTAGCAATATTTTTTTCACATGGTAGAATTTGGGAATTATGGTATCTATTTTTATAAGTTCACTCAAGAAATAGAATTGTGATGTGGAGCTGTTGGAGAATAAATTATGTTGTATCTTACCTGAATCTTAAGTGTTACGTGCTTTATCTAGCTTGTTTTCTATGTTTCTGTTGTAATACTGGTGTATGTCCCTCAATCTTGGTATATTTTGGTGTTAGCTAAAATTATCAGTTGCTAACAAAGGCAGATCACTAGCATGTAGGAGATTTTTTAAATGGGGCCTCTGAAATTCAAATTTGATTCAGTAAGTATCCCAAAATGAAATTCTCTGCACTAAATTTGCCAAACATACAACTTCTCTAGGATTTTACCTCTTTGGTGAATGTAGAAATACCTGAGCATTGATGTGATGATTTCTCCTCATACATTCTTTTTCATAATCTAATATCCTATCCTGAACACTTAAGGCCAAATGGGAAATGATATATCTGTGTTTTCCAAAGAAATTTTAAAATCACTTCAGCCATCAAATTTGCATGCTGATTTATGCTGTGATTTTTGCAGGGAAGACTAGGAGAGCTGGAGTTGCAGTTAAAACATGGAAAAGAAGAACCTGAGGAGGTGCAGTACAAAAAGAGCACAGCCTGGCTCTGGTAAGGGTTCGTGTTCAGCTGCCCATTATTTGTCATGGGAAGTGAGCTATGAGGGGAAAGTTAACTACTTTGAAGGCTTTAAGATTAGTAGGTTTAACTTCTATATGAGCCTGAAGGGGAAATGACAGAAGAGCTGATAGATGTATTCCCTAGATAGAAGATGGAGAGCTTTATTTATAAATTATACATACACACACACACGCGCACACACACACACGCGCGCGCACACACACATTCTAAAACAATGTGGAAACAGTTTGCTTTTTCCCTTTTCCACCTGTAACTGATTATTTTATATGCTTTTGAATGAAAAATTCTGTTTTTCCCACTCTGTTCATTGCTTTCCTACCTCACATGTAGTCAAGGATTACTTCTCCCTTCTTCTGCTCCCATTTTCCCCAAGACATAATTATTAGGAGCAACTTTACCACGTCATGGCTTTAATTTCTTTGGCAGACATTTCCTAGGGAATTCCCACTATATTATCTAGAAATATATTAGTACTGGCTCATAAAAGCAACTTAAATTGTTACATGGGTTGAGAAGAATACTGTATCAGATTTGTGTTTCACCAGCCTAAATGTAAGTAAAGTGCCTAAATAGCTTTGCCTACAACCACAGGTTGCTTTAATCTGAAAATCTGTCCAATGGTTATTTAATTACAGGTTTTCATTTACTGACAATTGGCTGATGTAGAAAAGCAGAAACTGTGTGTGTGTGTTTTTGATTAATTGTATTCTAAGCCATATTTTCTAGATTTGTAAAAAAAAAAGGCAATGAAGTTTAAACATTATGATATTGGATTTAGGATTAGAGGGTTTTGCATCCTATTTGCTCATACCTTTTGCATCTATTTTTCATTTAATCATCTGAAAGTGATAATTGGTGAAGTAGTATATTTGCTAAGTTCTTTAAAATATGTAGAAAGACCTATCGATACCTATTGCTGGTGAAAACTCATGGGCTGTGTATATATGGGTATAAAGGAGACAGGTCCCTAGAAGTTTCTTAAGAATGATATAGGCTGGGTGTGGTGGTTTACACCTGTAGTCCCAGCATTTTGGAAGGCTAAGGCAGGTGGATCATTTGAACCCAGGAGTTCAAGGCCAGCTTGAGCAACATGGCAAAACCCTATCTTTATTAAAAAAAAAAAAAAAAAAGAAAGAAAGAAAGAAAAAAACATTTAGTTAAACCTGCGGTGACTAATAAGCTACCTTGAAGTGAGCTCTTCATCATCCTCACTTAATTGGAACACAATCCCAAATCTAAGTAAAGTCGTCACTTGATTTATTATTTCAAAAAGTATTTATTGAGTGTCTGTCATGTGCCAGGCACTGTTCTAAGCACAGAGGAACAGTAGTGAATAAAGCCCCTTCTTTGTCCTTCCAAAGCTTATACTTGAGTAGATGGAAACCTATAATAAGCAAATAAACAAATGGAATATGATAGAAGTTGATTCGTGGAAGAAAAATAAAGTATGATAAAGGGAATAGAGAGTGAATGAGGCTTGAGGGAGGTTGGAGGGTGGCGCTACCATTTTCTGTAGGGTGAACAGAGTCTTTTTAATAATGTGACATTTGAATGAGACCTGAAAGAAGTGGTGGAGTGAGCCAAGCTGATATGCAGAAGAGCATTCTAGGAAGAGGAAACAGTGAATTCATCACAGGCCCTGGGAGCGTACCTGGCAAAGCCTGTGTGGCATAGAGAGAGCAAGGATGGAAATAGTGGACCTAAGAGTAGAGAAGTTCGGGAGATTGCAGGGTGGAGAGTCTTTGTCAGCACAAAGAGGACTTTGTGAGTGAGATGGAGAAACATTGGCAGATCTTAATCATAGAATTTGACTCATGATTTAAAAGGACCACTCTAGCTGTTATGTTGAAAACACACCCTGCGGGGCATGGTTAGGAGTCTGTTGCAATAATTTAGGCAAGAGATAATAGTGTTTTAGACTAGGATGTTATTGTGGAAACGTACATTGATTTTGAATCATTTTAAGCAGATACCATATGATATACTTGAAATAAAGGATGTGAAAGAAAGGGATCAATCAAAGATATCTCAAGATTTTAACTCTAAACAAAAGTATGGCATTTCCATTTAAGACAAGGAAGACTAGAGAAAAGCAGGTCTGCGTAGAGTAGGAATCAGATTTTGGACTTAGGCCTGAGATGCCTCATTAGCCTCCAGTTAGAGATAGCAAGCAGGTTGTTGACTAGTCTGTAGTTCCAGGGAGAGCTCAGGGCTAGAGAGGTGAATTTAGTGAACATCAGCATATTGATGGCATTTAAAATCATGATGCTGGGTAAGGTCACTTAGGGCGTGAATACAGAAAGAGAAGGTTTCAAAAGATTGAGCCCTGGTTCTATATTTAAAGGTGGGGAAGATGAAGAGGGAACCAATAAAGCAGATGGAAAATTAGTTATCAGTGATGTAGAAAAAGAAACAAAAGAGGGTAAAATCTTAAAAGCGAAGGAAAGAAGGTGTTCTAAGAAAGGAATAACCAACTGTGTCAAATGCTGCTGTTAGGCTGCAGAAGATAGGGACCGAGAATTGAGCATTAGATTCAGTCTCTTGAAAATAATTGGTGATCATGACGGGAGCTGTTTTGGTAAGAGTTATTGAGACAAAAGCCAGGATCTAGAGAGAGTGGAAGGAGATAACTAGGGTCATCAAGTATGGATAATCTTTTACAGGAGTTTTGATGTATAACAGACTAAGAAATGGGGCAATAGCTGGTGGGCTTGTTCTTCTTTCTTCTTTTAGAGGGTGGATACTACAGTAGGTTCACATACTAAGGGGAATAATACAAGTAGAGATGGAAAAATGTGTGATGCAGCAGAGAGGAGGGAGTAGAGAAGTAGCTTTAGTGCACAAGTGGAAAGTTTGACCTTAAATGTAAGTATACATAGGTCATCATTTGTAAATATCCCACATTGACCAATGAAATATTACGTTGAATGGACTATATTCCATTTAGGAACACAGAAACTAGACAGTACATTTTAGAGAAATTTACAGTCAAATGCTTTTGAAAAATAAAAGATTGAGATCTATAGGAGGTATTGCACCTGTCTGAAAAACTTGCCTCTTAAGAGTGACTCATTCTCAGAGTGCTGAATAGCTAAGATTTTATTATATATCAAATGTAAATATTTATGAATGTCAATATAATTTGTATTTAAATGCAATAACTTTAATAATGTTTATGAAACCTTTACATTTATAAAATTCAATGTTTATATTGAAAACAATCCTTTTAAAAAAGTAAATTTGACAGCAAGTGGTTATTTTTTACTTTATCTTGAAAATTCTATATTGAATTAAAAAATTTGGTTCTGTAAATATTTGAATTGTACATACCTTCTTTCTAACCCACAAGTATAATTATTTTCTTTTGGCTTTCCCGTGACTATATAACAAAAGTTTGAAATTGCATTTTCTATGAACACATGGCAACTATTTCATATGTACAATTTGGAAATTGTAAATTGATGTTTTGGTGAGCTCTCAGGTAAAAAAGAGAGACTGTCTTAGTCCATTTGGGCTTCAAAATGCCACCACATTGGGGATTAGGATTTCAACATGTGAATTTGGTGGGGTATGCAAACATTCGGTTCATTGTAGAGACTAATATAACGGACACTTGTATACGCACCACTCCATCTGAGATAATACTGTTACAGTGCTGTCGTATATCCCCTCTCAGTCACACATTCACCTCCTCCTTGCCTCCACTCAGTGACCTCATGAACAGGAAAATGAAGCTGTCTTTGAAGCAGAGCCCTTATTACAGTTCTTTCACCTTACACTGAAATTCTAGTACAGTTTTAAGATCTGGAGCCATTGCTGGATGTTCTTATTAATTGATGAAAAAGAGAAAGGAATGATTTCTTGTTCTACCATAAACTCTTATTTATTTTCCGTCTTTATTGCAGGGTTAGAGACATGCTGACTGATGAGATCACCAAGGCAGCTGCAAAGTAAGATCCATTTAGTCTTTTATCAAACATTTTTTATAAATACTTTTTCCTGGCAGGTACATGGTACATACATTTTCTCCTTTTAGGGCATGTCATAACTTTAAGGATTTTAAAGTACTCTTCAATTATTTTTCAAAAAAATTAATCGTTACCCTTTCTTATAGTAGGTGAATTCTTACTACATGTCTTTTTGTGAAAATACAGAGGGATTGGTACTAACATATAACTTTTACATCAGGAGTCACTGAAGTTGAGCCCCTGCTATATACCTAACAGATGACATGTGCTTTGGTGCAGACTTAAAGGACTGTAATTTAGTTCAAGGGGATAAAAAAAAAAAATCCTTGCTAATATGAGTTATGTTGGTAGTACTTCCTTTTGTTCCATTGGTGTTACTGGGTTCAACATATCTAAAAATTGAATTTTTAAATGCTAAAAACTAATGCCAAGGCCCATTAAAAAAGCAGTTTTAGTCATGTGCTTATGGTGTTTTAACAAAAATTACTTGATTGTCACTGCCTTGATGGTTTTTATTTACCTTAAGCCAGCTCTCACTAAAAAATACCCAGAACTTGCTTGAACAATCTCTTCAGGTTCCTTTGTTAACTAATAAGTTGACTAATTGTTCCTGGCAGTAAGTTACATGCCAGTTACACTCCTCCCTTCCACCATCTCCTTTAACTGCTGCCATTTCTGTTTGACTCCTTTCTTTTTCGCCTTCAGCTAACATAGATATACCTTTGACCTAGAGAATTTCATGTGTATTGAAAGTCCATATCATCTAGAAATTTTTAATTGTAGTATAGTTTATCCTTTTCATGTCGCAAAACCTTCTGTAGCTAAATAGATTTTGCCTTAAAAACAAAACAAAAAATGATCTACCTTAGAGTTAGCTTTCTATTAGTAATTTCTTAAACAGACACTTAACTGTGAAGTCTGATCTCAGCAGATTATCACTATTCAGTCTCATGTCTTCTGGATAAAGAGAACTAGAAGTGATAATCCTCCCCGACTCAGTCCTATGGAAGGCACTGGGAGATACCTGTTGATAAAATGAAAACTAAAGTACAGAGAGCTTAGATAGAGACTCATTTATGTCTTTTTTTTCCAGTTTGGTGAATTGCAGACACAGTGGGAGAGGGCACAGTTGCGTATCAGAGGGGGAGGGGATGCTGGGATGAGAATGCAGGCTGTCTTTGACCTTTACCTGTCATAGTTTGTTCTCTTAGGTAGTCTACGTAGATCCTATTAAAAGCAGTGCTCTGACCTTTGCAGCAAAAAGCTTGAATGCAGAAGAAACTACCAACTTTCTCCTAAAGCACATTATAATTTCCCCTGTCTAGTAGCTATTGCAATTTTCCATTCTAAAATTGTATTCCAGGGTGATTGTGATCTTCAGAGTCATAAAGCGTCACTTTGTGACTAGTACCTAAAGAAAGTGTGTTCACATGAGTAAAAATAATTCATATTCTCGTGGCATTACCTTCTCATCAAAACTTACAAAGTATTTTATAGACCTTATTTTAATAAAGCAATCTTGACAATACTAGGAATGGCAGCAAGTGAATAAGAGATATTTTAGGTCTGGAGGCTGAGAGACTGGTGATAGAGCAGGGGAAAAAAATCATTCTGTCACCGTGTCGTCTTCTTCCCACTGGCTTCCTCCAACCCTGTGAGGTCTTCACTACTGCCCACTGCCAGCTTAGCTTCCCTATCCTTAGCTACAGCTGCCACAGGCTGATTTGGGTCAGGATAGGGCTTGTTTTGTTCAGAGCTAGAAGTTAAATGCAAAAAGTAAAATACCAATCATGGGAAGATCCTGGTTTGTTCATTTAATAACCTTTTTAAAGCTTCAGGGATGGGGTAAGGGAGAATCAGAACACGTATAAAACCTGATGATTGATGTAAATTTATTTCCATTATTATTTATTAAACAGATTTAAACCTGAAGATAAAAATCCCTAAAGTATTGAGTCACTTTACTAATATGTAATGTAATACTTTGTCCGTAGGAAAGCATCAGTGTAACTCATCCTTCCTTGTGCTTTTTAATTAGATTAATAACATCATTTTGTTTTAAAGGACAATTTAATTAAAATGTCAGTGGTGTTGCCTAAATAAATACTGTATGGATGCTGACATGTTATTATGCAAATTAGTTGCTGCCATTTGACTGTTAGGGGATAGTTATTGAGCAACAAGGTGATGAGTTTTTACTGAACCAGTTATAGATTCCCACCTCTCCAGCTCCTCCTTGAATTCATTTCACTAAGTATGTATTGAGTACCTTCTATCCATAAGTCATTGTGGCAGGCGTGAAGGGAATGCGAAAAGTTAGTCATGGTACCTTTGTGAAATGTGTAACTTGGCCTAGGGCTGCACTGTGTAGAGTGGACTAGGTTTTTAATTCAAAGATTATTGTCCAAATATTCGTTCATTCTGCAACCAAAGATCTTATTACCAGTGGTTTTAAATAAATTTTTCTCCATTACTTAAGAACAATACATACTCAGGTATGTCAAGACTAGTGAAGGATTTGAAATAAAATAGTTTTTGGTACTGTTTTAAAACTGAGGCTAATTTCTCTTTCAGAATTTTGGGGTTAAAAATAACTTTTTATGTTATCTTATCTAATGTATTTGTTTTATGACATTTGATACTCAGATTCTAGTGACCTCATGTTTTCTGCAGGATAATAAAACTGGGACTCTAATTAATTCTCAGATCACTCAGAATTTAAAACTATTTTTAAAACTCAGCTTTAGGGATTCATGACCATTTTACAGTAGGAAAGGTCTCAGGATATTCTGTTAAAAGAAAGAGATACTATTAGAAATAAAATATTTAATTTTGTTTTTGTTAAATGATTTTATGGCTAGGGCACCTAGGAGTGACCAAATCCCACCTTGTTTCCTTGTGTTTTCTTATTAGCTATATGAGTGCTCAGTAATTCTCTTTGCAGAACTCTAGCAAAACCCAACTTGGAGCCATCTGCTTAGACCTCAAGGCTTCCTTCCCATTTTCTCCTCCAACCCTCCCCATTATAAATGTTGATGTCTTATTAACTTTTGACGGGCCTCATGGAGGAATAAACTGAACTGGAGTCGGGTGAACAAACTGATCAAGACTTCAAGCCTTCACAGAGCTAAACCACTCTAAAGTGGGACTGAGAGGGGGAAGGAGGGATGGGCGAATAGGTAGATGGAAGGATTTGTTAATGGCAAGTCCTGAGTCCCATTCTTACCAAATGGAAGCAGAAATGCAAGAAAACATGTGTGCGCCAACAATTTAATACCCACTGACTCAGTGTTCAATTGAGACTATGGCTTGGGACTGGAGGTACTAGGCTCATTAAGGGAGCAGAGTTGAAAATCTTCCTTATCCCTCACATCTGTTGTAGTCCTGCCCTGAGGTAAGCAGGAAGTGGTTCTTGGATCATGCACTGAATTCAGATTCAAGTTTCAAGTCCAAATTTTGGGGAACATTGTCTGTATTCATGGGAAACCACATCATAGGACTGAGAACTGAACAATCTGATGGTATGGGTGCTCTTATTGCTGGAGTTCTGTTATAACAGAATTGGCAAACCTAGAGCATCTCATTGATGTCCCATAGGGGACTTTATAGGATCAGCTTGGAATTATGGAATAATATTAAATGTACATTTTCAAGTGGTAAGTATATTAAAAAGGTTCAGGTTTTTGTGTTAAATTCCGAAGTCAAACATAAGAGTTTATTGCTAATATTAGAAAGTTACCATTTAGATGATATAAAAAGGCAAGTTTCAGACCAAATAGTCTAAAAACAGCGCTTTTTCCTTTGTATTTTATGTGGGGTCTCCAAATTATATTTCAAACTGACTTTCAGGTTGATAGCTTTGCCATATTAAGAGAAAGAAGGAGAGGATAATAATGAGTGAGAAAAGCTGCCATGTGTCAAATTGTAAGGTGTGCAGTCTGAACTGGTTTGCTAGAAGCCAGTTCAACGTACCAGTGCTTCAGAAAAGCCAAAGAGCATTCTATTCAGGTGGGCTTATTGACATAACTGTCTTAGTTATGTTTTTAGAACAAATCAATAATTTTAAATAGGCCAAAAATGACACAGAAGAGAGCCTAGGAAATGTAATGTTAAATGATGAAATAAAAATTTAGGAAGAAACAACTTACTAAGCTTGGATTTTTAAGTTATAAAAAGGCATAATGACCCATACTACATTGATAAGAGTTCAGAATCAGCTCTAGACTCAGAAGGAAGGAAAGAAACTGTTGGCCTCAGGGAACAAACAGACCTGCATTTACAAGACTCTGTGAAGGAATACAAGTTGCTTTTTGACTTCATCTACCCTCCTATATTAGCTCTTTCTCTTCTCTTGGTTAATACCAAAGTTCTCTGTTGAATTTTTTTTCCTTTTGAACAGGGAGAGTCCGGTAGTGAAAGGCAATGCACTGTTAGCTCTAAGCAGCCTTGCTGTCGTCGTGTCTAGACATGAAGCCAGCCTCTCCTCAGACTCTGACGGGCTCCTGGAGGTTAGTTGGGGTAATTTAAACAATTGGGCTTTGGTTATGTCTTTTTAAGCCTGGCTTTAAGTAGCCTGGCCCTGGGCTTACAAGGTTAGATTCTGTGATTATGGCACCAAGTTATAGTACTTGATGGGCCTTTATACTGTGAGCCTTAGTGTCTTCCTAACTTTGCTGCTTTTCTGTTTTCCTTTCTCCATCACAGTTAAGTGGTCATATCTATTTGAAGGTGCCAATGTTATGCCATAGGGGTTATGTTTTGTATTTATATCAGTGGTAACCAATCTTACAAGGTTAACTAGGCTTACTGAAAGTGAACAATGCTGTCAAAATGATAAATAAGCAGTGTTTATTGACTGAAAAAAATGTACTTTGCATTTTAATTGTAGATGTCAATGACAAAGTGCCTATTCATTTTTGCAAGGCAGTTATTTCTTAATTAAACATGTGGTGAGCTGGCCACTGTTCATTTCCAGTGTACTTTCTTGGATAATTCATATCTGTCTAAATAAAAAGGCATGAATTTATTCTTGTTTTAAGTCTCATTATCTGGTAGCCATCATCATACAGAGACGACATAACTGAGTTGTTAAAAAATATAGGCTTTGGAATAGGAAAGTCCTATATTTAGATCCTATTACCTCCACTTACTACCTCTGTGGCCTATTTGTAGCAATTTCCTCTTTCAGAAGCTATTTCCCCATCTGTAAAGTGGAGGGATAACAATACTCACCAAATAGGATTATTGGAAGGATTAATGAATTAATATATGTGAAGCACAACAGCTCGTAGATACTAAGCTCTCATTAATAATAACCATTCAAAACTATTCAGTCTGTCTCTGTCCTCAAGGAGTATCTTATGGGCTATCTGTATTCTATTTTTGTTGTGGGTTTTTTTGGTGGTACACTAAAAACAACCAACTCTGATGACTCATTTAAACAAAAAAGGAACAGGAAGTATATGGAATCTAGAAGCCCATGGAATTGAAGGCAAAGCTTAAAAACTGAGTTTTGGGAAAAACAAGAACCAAGGCAAGTTGGGGAGTCCAGGCAACAGGTACTAACGAAACATCTAAGCAGACCACCTCCAGTGGGCGAGAACAACTTCAGTCATTTATTGTCCTTGTATCACTTACTTAAAATTCAGAGTCCCTTGGGTCCTAGGCCTACCCCTTGGATAGTGTAGGACAGCTAGCTTGATTGAGCATTTAACCTTCAAATAGGGGGGAAGACGGAACTCTGCAAAGGATGCTACTACCAGTAAACAGAGAATTGGTGCTGTGTGGCAAAAGCCATGGATATATATTACATGTAGGGGAGGGAAAGAGGCCAAGGGATTATTGCATGAATGATATTAGTTAATTACCCTATGAAAATTTAATTTTAAACTTAGAATCTTACTGATAAGAAAGATGGAGATTTTATAGAGAGGAACTGTTTCATGTCTTTCAGAGAGCCATGGAATATTTTAACAGAGGCAACATGCTGCGTAGATCTACAACCTAAAAAGTCAATGCCCCTTTCTATGATCCCTTCACTTTGGTGTTATTTTCGTCAAACTACCAGTTATACAGTATTTTCCCCAGTAATAAAGGGGTCTAGCTCAGAGTTTGAGTTCCAGCCTTTCTCACTTTCTCCTCCACACCAACACACTGCAACACACATTGAGAAACCACACAGTCCAAAGATAGGGCTTTGCTTTTATTCATGATGACCTTGCCTTTAGCTATTACTCAATGCAAATTCAAGACCTCATTATTTAATTAAAGTGGAAACTTTCAAACATTATTCAAACCTGCATATGACCACCAACAAAAGATTTGAAGATGTGACAGCTTTGTTTGATTCAAGGAATTACAATAATTCCAGTTACCATGTGAGTTAATGAATGCTTTTGACATCCATGGTCATGAGTGACTTTAATAACCAAGTTTTATTTTTAATGAGTGGGGTTTTGTTGTTTTGGTTTTGTGTTCTCTTTCCTCTTCTTTGTCAAACTGAAGATGATTCATGTTTCTACCTAATCTTTCAGTGAGTTAGGTGAATGTTGTCAAGATGCTTGAAATGACAACTAAATGTTAATAGTCACCAGAAATGCTAGAGATGTTGATCAGAATTTTGTGGGCTGT